TCGAAGTCGGCCGATAGGTGCACGGCAAGGTCTTGCGTGACAATATTATGAATACGTAACACAAGCTCTCAGCCTCATGGAGATCATCATGCTAGAGGCCGAATAGACTCGATCGTCAGGGCCGCCGGGCAGAACGTCGTTAGTATGTATTCTTTTGCTTTGCGGGTCACTCACCCTGGGAGCCGTGCGTTGGGGGCAGGAGATTTCCACTCCCACCGCGGCGACCGGCGCGGGAACGGCTTGGCGGTTGCCCTTGTGGCGAGCAAGATATGAAACATATTACTCCCTCGGGAGTCGGCAGAGCCCGGAAATAGACGATCAAAGGCAGCGCGGGAGCGCAGAAAGTTTGAACCGTTCGAACAACCAGGAGAGATATGAGACTACACCCACCGCTACCGGGTGGTACGAGAGCTTTAGTATTGACACCGTGCTGTCTGGCCCCGGTGCCTGCCTTGCGAATGGAGCAGACGCAGTCGCTGCGTCCAGAGCGGCCGCAACAGACGCGCACGCGTGCAATGACCGCCCTGAGCACACCGTGCCCCAACGCAGCCTTGCAAGTCGCATCACCACATATGGAACGCTCGCAGGGCACATCCGTATACCCCCCGATACGCAGTCGCGCTACACCGCGAGCCTGCTCAAAGATGAATGCAGCAATACGATCACCCCCGTCCGAGTCTACTGCAGCGCCGCTGCCAGGCACAACACCAAGCGGCCCGCACCAAACGCCGCACGCTCACGCATGCCCTGCCTCCAAAAAGCCCCAGAAACAGAGGGTAACACAGCAGCATCGTCAGGGCCGCCCACGGCGAACACCGGGCCAAATGTGATCCCCACACAAATGCACACAGCTGCAGGGACCGCCTCCCTGCAGGCCCTAGGGTCACAACTCGTACCACAATCACAAATTCAAGGTATTGCTCAAATGGAACCACAGGCCCGGACGGCACACACAAACCAAGAGAGGGCAGCCAACACTCAACCACTCACGGAAAAGAGGAAGGCTGCCCTGCTGGTGCACCCCCCTGAGAAACCATGGCGAGCGCAAGTAGCCTGCCACACAGAAACAGCGAAGAAGAGTGCAACAACAGCGCTGGAAAGCCACACCTCGCCCGACCGGGTGCCCACGGCGCGCATGCCCCTAGCACAGGATAGTACCTGGCCGACCACAGGGGGACCACAGCATCGCCCTGCCCCCACATCCCATACAGTGGCGAGAGAAATAGTTGGACACCGAATCTTCCAACAGCACGTTGGCAACGGACGACCTCGCACCAACCCGGGCGGCGCACTCGTAAGGAGGCGAGATGAGCTACATGCAGCTGATCAGACCCTCAAGAGAGAGAGGTGCGCGGTAGAGTCACGAGAAAGAACCACCCCGGGGCTGATCGCTAGCGAAATCGATCGCGGGACGGGAGAGCGTGAGGCGCTGGGCATCGTGGCATGGAACGGCGCGATAAGTCGCGCTCTCGACTCAGCCGTTATAACCATGGCACCCAGTACGAATGCCCTGGGACAGGGGAGCCACAACGGCGCGCATGCAAAGGTGAACACGCCCGACAGCACACGTGTGCACAGCAACCCAAACCACGACAACCACCCTCCCTCAATTGCACCCTGCATTACCACAGAACGACACGGGACTGCCTACCCCATGCGGTTCTCGAACAGCAGAAATCTGCCCCAGGGGACCAGCAACGGCTCTAGGATCATGCAGCAGCGGACTCCGGCTAGTGCAGCGGCGCTGCGCCGCTGCCGGGCCAGCGTCGCCGCGCCGGCGAGCCGCCTGCTGGCGGCGCTTGAAAAAGCATCGCCAGAGGCGCCGTCGCAGGCAGCCGCCGCAGCCACATGCATATGGCGCACTTTTGGGGTCACCGGGACAGCAACGCAGCACCCGCACGTCACTGGCATCCCGACAAGCGACGCCGACAAGCCTCTGGCCACACGCACGGTGAACATCGTCATCGCGGCCGCGCTGGCAGGGACACACGTAGCTCAAGGGCCTAGGCAGCAAGCCGGGGACCCCAGTGCGGTGGAGCAGCGACCAGGAGCGGGAGCACAGCGGCCACGCCCGGCAGAGGCACCAGCAGGCGGTGCCGCGCCAACCCACCCAAAAGCACCGGTGAGGGGCGCAGAGGCAGCGAATGTCAAAGCAGCGGCAGGGCCGCAGCCGGCGGTCGCGGCAGTGGCGCAAGCCAATGCGGCACGAGATGCCGCGGCCCTGCCGACAACCGTTCAGGAGGCAAAGGCCCTGATCCTGGCCGAATTCGAACGCGCGGGCTGGACGGCGCCGGCGGAGGTCAGGGTCTTCCCGGGCTCTGTCAGGCCCGACGGGATCGGACGCCCCGGCAGCCTGCCGACGTGGAAGGCAAAAATTACCGCCGCCACGGTGGAGGACGCGCACCAGATCTTCACCCACGCCGCGCCGGCGCTCAGCCTTCCATGGTGGACTCCGTCAGGCGAGGTCAAGTGGGGAGGCGTGATCCCCACTGCCCCCCAGCCGCCGCCGGACCCTGAAATCAGACCAGCCTATGAGGTTGTCGCGACTCTCGCGACCTCCAAGGTGGGTCTAGACTTCATGGAAGCAGCAGGGAGCGCGTCCCAGGCGCTGGCAGCACACACCGCAGCGTCGGACCTCGGCCTCAGCGACAAGTCAGTGCCGGGGTTTCTGCTGCAGCCGCCCTCGGCCGCGCTTATGGAGGCAGCCTCGGCAGCACTCGAGCACCCTGGGCTGGACGTCCTCAACCTTCAGCAGCTTACGCCCATGGGCGGCAACAAGTATAAAGTGCGGATGGGCAGCGCGCAAGCAGCGGCGCACCTGAGGGAGGCGGAGGAGTCGATCAGGGTCGAGTGGCAGGAGTGGGACGGCAGCAAGACATGGCTTACCATCACGCCTCATCCCAAAGAGAGCGGTGTGCTGCCAACCAGCCTCACCCGGCACGCTGTGGAGGTCGGTCCCTTCCACTCAGCGCACCTGGCTCCGAAGGCGACCCGCGGGGCTGTCCTGCGCCCAGTCTTCGCCGCCCTGGACGCCAATGCGCGCGGTGCGGTGGCGGCGACGCCGGCCATGCCGGCGAACAGCCCCATCAAGGCCGGCGCCGCGAACCCCGAGCAGCCGGTCATCTTTGTGCGGCGGGCCGAGCAGCCGTACGACGTCAAGTCCCTTTGCGACATGACAGAGCAGGAGGCGCCGCAGTTCGTCACCCTCAACAGCGGCGTGCCGCTAAGCCGCCTGCCAGAGGACCTGGTGCTCTCGCTCAGCGCAAGGGGGGGGATGCCGCTCACCCTGCTGCCGGCGGACAGCCGCTCTGCCTCCCTGCTGGTTCTGGGCATCCCCTTCGGTGCGGCGATCACCCCCTACCGCGGCGGCGACCCCCTGTGGGTGCGCATGGCGGCGTCTAGCAGCGGCGGCCGCTCCCCCATCATCACGGCCCCCGTCCTCACGGACGGGTCATCTTCGCTGAAACAGAAACAGAGGCAGGCGTGTGTGCTGGTGATCGCAGCGCACGGAGGGCTCAGCGCCGCCGAGGGCGAGAGGCTCAGCGGTGGCAAGGAAGGCAAGGTGGAGTGGAAGAGGCTCACGTTCTCGTGGCGCGACAGCATCAATGAACCGCTGGTAGCTCCCGCGGCACTCACCACAGCGGCAGAGCTCGAGGGCTTCCAGGGCCTGCTGAGCTTTTCCGACGACGAAATGGAGGAGGAGGTTCCAGACAAGCCCGACGCGGGCGCCGCAGGCGACGCAGACGGTGCAGATGGCGCCGACGGCGCTGCCGAGCGGCAGGCGGCCCTGGCAGAGGCCGTGGAGGGCGGCAACAGCCTGCTCGAGGAGACAAACACGGCCGCAGAGCAGGCAATGCGGCTGGCAGAGCGCGCACGCGCTGTGCTCAGCCTGGCCGAGCAAAGGCTGGCCGAGGCAGCGGACGCCAGCCTGAGCAAGGAGCTGAGCAACAACAAATACAGCGAGGCGGCCGAGGCCGCCGAGGAGGCGGGCAGCGCCGCCGACCA